AGGAAGGAAGGAAGGAAGGAAGGAAGGAAGGAAGGAAGGAAGGAAGGAAGGAAGGAAGGAAGGAGGGAAGGAGTTGAGTAGGTATTTTAACCTCTCCAATCTGCTTAGCATGGTGCTTTTTTAAAAGATGCAATCCTTGGCCCATCAGTGTCTTAACATTACCCTTAGCTTCCTTTGTGTCATGGCTGTTTCCAAAGCAATTTCCCTAAGTGGATCCTTTGTCATATCAAGCACAGTCGGCCTCACTATGTCTCCAGGATAGAGGCTGAGCCGAGACTGCCGGAGAGCCATTTTAGCTTGCAGTTGCATCATCTCCTCCTCCTGGCGCTTCAACATTACTTCCTGGCTCAACAGGCTGTCTTCAGGAGTTGCTTCATACTGCCTGTGGATGAAAAGGAAAGTGAACGGATTGCCACAACAATGAATGAATGGCTCTGTAGCAGAGTTTAACAGAAAACCCCACTTATAGATTCATAGAACTGCGGAGTTGAATGAGACCATACAAATGATCTACTTCAAGCCTTGACAATGTGCAGGAAAGACAATTAAACCATCTTTGAGAGGTAGCTTGTCTAGTCTTTCTTAAAAACTTCCAGAAATGGAGATCTCACAATCCTGCAGATAGATTGTTCCATTGCTCGGACCTTACTGCAAGTTTTTCCTTTATTTTAAGGAACAAAATAACTTTGGAAATGAAGATAAATACCGGGGAAAGAACTATTTATTTTTGCCCTTCCATCATCTCCTCAGTTGATCAAAGGCAGATCTTAAGCATCTTTGCTTAGTAAGAAGAGGGGTACCTTCCAGATCCTGGAACAAAGGCTTTTTAGAGTCAGGATGAGAGATGCAATATTTCAACTTCTGGTGGTTTAAGAAGTTGCAAAATCCATACCTTGAATCCCACAGCTGTACATGTGGCTTTTTTCACTGCAACATGTATATACAGAGTTAAACTAAAATGATGGAGAAGGAAGAGAAAGAAAAAGAGGAAGAAGAAGAAGAAGATGATGATTAAGATTAAGATTAAGATTATTATCCACTCTGTGGTTATAAACTAATTAATATATGGAAGCTCCTTCTATTTAAACACAAAATTTTAACTCTAATACTCTCTCAAAAGCCTTCCTTTACTTGATTAAGGTTTTAGATCATCCTACAAGTGCAACTCAACCCCTGAACTTCTTGGTTTGCCTTCTTAAATCATGGGGACAGGAATTACTTATTAACTTGGTGCTGGCATGATTACTACTCAGTTGGAAAATGAGTATATGCAGAAGAAATATTTGTCTCTTGTACTTACTGAAGCGTTGTTGCATATACTGTTACTACCAGGGCTAAGGAATGAACTGGGTAAATGCAGAATAAAAAATGAAGCAAAGGTTTAGAGAGCAGAGAGACAAAATATCAGAATAGCAAGGTACAAATTTAACCTACAGAATGAAATATCCCAGAGACCAATTGCTTTGGGAGCAGAAATATTTTAAGCAGAAGATTCAACAGCACGTTGCCATTAACCAAAGGTTACCTTATACAATATCCTTTATTTCTTACATTGAGTATTTTCCCCTATAACCCTAATAGTATTATTTGTGTTAGGGGCAAGCAAGCAAACAGGGCTAGCCATACACAGCTAGAATAAGCATGTTTATTGCCTCTACTTATGTTACAAGAATCTCTCCAGAAATACCCAAGTAAGGCTTCATGGATTTATGATGGAGAAGATAAAGCGATTCCAAGCTAGGCCCCCGTTTGACCCCTCACTCCAGCCTAGCTGGCAATTTCCCAACAATTGGGTGGGAAAACAATAATATTAGATTTTTAAAAAGTCTGGTTAGTAAGACATTGCAGAACATGGAGACAGCAGAGGAGAACTGGAGAAAATTACAAAACTCAAAGACCTCCAAACAGAAGGAGAGCAATGGTAGCAATAGAAAACAAAAATAGTATCAGCAGTAATAGGTGTATTATCTGAAAACAACTGGAGCACCACTTGAACACCATTGGAATTGACAAAAATCAGTCAACTGCAAAAGGCAGCTTTACTTAGAACACCTTACACCGTGCAATACTTTTCACATGATTAAACAACAATACCTGTCCATCCTAGGTCCTTGGGAAGGACTTGATAGGTGGATTAAAATGCCAAAGCCAGTCCCAACATCTGGCTGACTACATAATCAACCATAATAACAATTCACACTAATTGGATCTGCACATAAGTTACGCCAATTTATTACAACATCCTAGTTTCCTGGGAAGAATTTGATGTTTTTGAAGGCCAACACCAACTGCATGGGATTTCATGTTTATATAGAGAAGAGAAGAGAAAGAACTGGAGAAAAATAAAAAAGCCTGAAAATAGAAGTAGAATGACTGTGGCAAAAGAAAGCAAAGACTGTACCAGGTGCCTTGCGTGAAATCCCAAACAATCTGGGACATCTTTTGAATGCCATCAGCATCCACAAAATGATCATCGATCAATTGGGAAAAGCAGTTTTACTTGGAACAGCTTACATCCTGCAAACCATACCTTTAACACCATCAAAAAACATCTGCTTATCCCAGGATCTTAAGAAGGAATCAACGGGTGGATAAAAATGCCAAATCCAGTCTGAACATCTAGCTGACAGTGCAGTGAACCATAATAATGAAAAAAACATATTAAAAAAAATCAATCACTCTGGGCCAGAGGTATCAAACTCAATTGCATTGAGGGCTGCATCAGGGTTATGCTTCACCTTGGGGGCAGGGGGGGGGGGCGGATGGGCATGGCTAGGGTGGGCATGGCCAGCTTGACATCATTCGTGTCAGGGGGCACCTATGGTGCGCCGGGTAGGCCTGGGTGAATCTTCCTGCAGCCCGCTGCCAGTGAAAATGGAGCCTGGGAGGGTGGCATGCAGCCTTCCTGAGCTCTGTTTTTGCTGGTAAGGCACCACAGACTGGTCCTTCGCTATTTCCAGGGTGGTTCCATGGGCCAGATGTAAGCACCCCGCGGGCTGGATTCGGCCGAGGGCCTTTGAGTTTGACATCCCTGCTCTGGGCATATACTGTATTTTTCGGAGTATAAGATGCACCTTTTTCCCTCAAAAAAGAGGCTGAAAATCTGGGTGCATCTTATACACTTAATACAGCATTTTTGCCTCCCGAAACTCTGCTCCCTTCACCAAAATGGCCGTGCATTGCCTTTAGGAGGCTTATAGAGTGCCCTTGGGGGCTAGGGAGGGCAAAAATGAGTGAAAAATGGGTTGTTTTTTGCTCGTTTTTCGAGGGGTGGGCACATGCCAGGAGCACTCTATAAGCATCCTAAAGGCTATTCATGCCCTTTTTTGGGGGGGAACGGGCCCATTTTTGCGAAAAACGGGCCGTTTTTGGGAGGTCTGCAGAGTGCAAAAACTTTTTTTTAAATTTGCCTCTTCAAAATCTTGGTGTGTCTTATACTCTGAAAAATATGGTAACTTTACTCTGTTGCAGAAAAAATCTTTGCATGTTCAGATTTTCTCCATTTTACACACATGCAAAAATCTAGGGTTCAAGCATTGTAACCTGACAGGTTAAATAAATGAGTGACATATTAAGTTATGGTGGTTAAGGGCCTGTTTCCTCAGATTTGTAGAAAAAGGGAGGATATTAGACTGAAAAGATAATTATGCCCCTCCAACCACAGCACAAAAATGCTCAGTAATCATTTTTATGCCATGTTTTTTAACCCAGATTTTGCTCTCAGTTCATCACATTTGAGGTAATTTAAAACCTTCCTTAGGTTTTAAAGTTGTGTTTTTTCTCTTTTCCCAGCAGGATCTCAGCTGTGGACATGATATATCATTGCTTTGCTTGTGATGTGGTGGATGATGGAGTCAAAGATTTGAGATCTGCCCGCAATACTTTTACTTTGGCTGGCGGCAGGAGTTTCCTCAGAGGCTTTTGACAGTGTAATGCGACCTTACCACGCTGACATAAGCCCGAGGGCAAATCCGCGCCTTCTGAAGCACTCAGCCTAACGTAACCCTAAACCTAACCCTAACCCTAACCCTAACCCTAACCCTTACCTTAATTTAAATCGGCTTTCTGC